GACACCTGAAGGCAAGCGAAAATGAGGCTGCCCGAAAACAACATGGCAAAGAGCTGTGGAAGCTGAGCTGAAAAACCTGGGGCACAGCTGGAACCATTGAAAGACTTACCAGAAACAGACAGGAGTGGAGCTTTGTCACTGCCCTAAATGCCAGAGATGTAATAGGAACATGATGATGATGATGGATAAGCATTCATTATATTTATATTTGGTGTTGATTAGAGAACGTGGGAGGTTTTCATTATCTGGGTCGGTCTTGTGCGTTCTCTACAACTCATCTATTTTCTTGGCTACAGCCTAGTAACATGAGTAATTCTTTCTTCTTTTGGGAGGCATATTTTATGCATTCACCCCTTTCAGTAGCTTTCAGAGCTTCCTAGAAGTTGGTATTTGAGGTAACTGAGTGCTTAATTTCTTGTATGAAGTTAGAGATGACTGAATCAACTGTGGAACAAAAATATGCATTTTTAGTGGCAGTGTTCAGCTTCCAACTAGGAGACTTTAATGAGGTGTAACCAGTGTCTATGGTAAGTATAACTGGAGCATGATCTGAAATTCATGTATTATCAATAATTGCTTCTAGGCATGTTGGAATCAGTTCTGAAGACAAGAAAAAAGTCAGTTCTGGAGTAAGATGAATGTACTGTAGAGAAATATGTACAGCCATGCTCCTTGGGGTGTCCAAGTCTCTCTATACCTTTTAAACCAAGTTCTTTCTTTAATAATGAGGGTTGGTCTACAGTACTTTGAGAGCTGGGTTTCATGTAATTGGGTTTGTCCAGATGTCTTTCTAGTGTGGTATTCTGATCACCTCCCAGAATTACAGGAATTTTTTTTATTAGAAAGAATGTCTGCAATGTCTTTGGAAAATTCAGAATGACCTCCACCTAGATTGTAAATGCTTCCTAGAATTAAGCTTTTTGAGTTGAAACGGCCTTCAAGAGGAACACATCTTCCTTCAGGATGAGAGCGAGACTGTATACATTGAAAAGTTATTCTTTTATGAATTAAGATGGATGTGCTGAGGCTTTTAGAATTCAATGATGAATGATACACAGTACCTACCCACATTGTCTTGATTCTATCTGCATCTATTTCTGCTAGATGAGACTCCTGCGATAAAGCTATTTGACACTTTTTAGATCTGAGGTGTCTCTGGATTTTTATTCTTTTGGAAGGTTAAGTCCCCTCACGTTCCAGGAGCACATTCTAAGAAAAATCATGGCATAGTTTTAAAAGATCACCTTATTCTAAAGACACATTTCCCCATTGATATTGTAAAAATCACACCTCTAGGACATGGTCCGTATTTATGTATATTATATATTGGTTAGTTTTGAATGAATTTATGTCTTCAGTTGGGCCTTTTTAGGGTGTTAGGTATATAAAAAGACTTATAGTTAAATATCATGTGTCTTCCAAAGTATAAGAGAAAACAAAACAAAAATAAAATATTTAAAACAAGCCAGTGTGGGCACATTCAGATCCTTGATGGCTTCAACTCCATCTGCTTCTCCCCTCCCTATGTTATCTAATAATAATCTAAACATCTCTAAACACAACTATATTTTAAGTCAGATATTAGTCTGTAAATACCTTTGGGTTTTCCAAGAACACACATAATATATTCCGACATGCACAAGTTTTTCTGAATACATACAGAAGTTTTCATGTATACATACATACACATATGTATATCATATACATACAGACTCATACCATGGAAATTTACAATTGATTTGACAAAATCAAATATAAATTAGCACAAAATCTAAATATGAAAAATAAATTTCTTATTCATAGTATGTCAAATGCCCTGCAAGAATTGAATAACTAGTGCTATTTAAGATTTAGGTTCTGGTCTACTTTACATGTCAAGAGAATTTACTGTTCCAAGGGACTTGTGGTTACCATAACACAATCCACCAGCGGCTGAGCTAGTGAAGAGATTCTGTCTAGCAGTGCAAGTTGTGTTGATTTGTGCAGATAATCCTTCAATCAGTAGATGGTGCTCTGTCCCCCAGCTTAGTGTTAAACCTTTGCACTGCAGTGGTATGCAAATGATGTTACTGCTCAGTTCCAAAGGAGAGCAAGAGAAGAATTCAGCTTAGCTGGTTATCTGCTAGGCGTTGGAAGATTATATAAGTGAATATTACCATATTTACAAAGATACACAGGAAAACAAACCCATTTTTAAACTTGCTGAGGTATGCATTTTATGATAAAAAACCCCATCCTGCTATTTTTGGTCAAACCTGGTCTTAGTCTTTGAAGTGTCTGCCAAGCTTCAGAGGAGGTTTTGCAAAATCTTCTCAAGTCTGCTAAATCCATTGTGAAGGTGGATGGGTACTTGCTGGATCTGATGTTGGTCTTCCTCAGGATTTGCTTTATGCCATTGAATGCAGGCCTCTTTTTTTGAGCTTACCTGAGAAGTCAGGAAAAAGAGAAACTTTATGGCCTTTGTACATAACGATTTCAGCTTTTCTGGCAGCTTCCATTAACCTTACTTAAACATTGAACTTCAGCAGCTTGAAGATGATGGGTCTGGACTTGTCAGACTCCAGTCTTCTAGTAAAAGGTATTTGATGAGCCCTTTCAATATTAAATGGGGGCTGCTGGAGATCCAAATTAAATATGTCAGGGAGCAATTTCTGAAGAAAGCTAATGATATCCTTCTCCTCTAGACCCTCACCATTGCCAGTACATAGTTCCTGTTCATGATAAAGGCTTTATCCTGACACTTGTAAGCTCAGGAGTAAGATACTATACAGACAAGCAGGAGGAGCCACTTTCAGTGGGCTCCTGATGTGTGTGTGTGTGTGTGTGTGTGTGTGTGTGTGTGTTGTTTCTGTGGAATCTGATACTTGGGACAGACTTCATCCATTCTCTTCTAATGGGGAATTCGCTGTAGTCTCAGCTTCCAAAGCCACATTATCAGTTTTTGTGGGCAGCCAAGCTGAGATGTTAGCTCTCTAATGGATCATCTGAGAAGGTATATGTCAATATTGCCCCAATGTGTAAGCACTAGCAGCAGTGACCATGGGTATGCTAAGACAGGAGCAGTAAAAAGACTCTTTTCAAATCTAAAACCACTAAATCATACTCTGTTGACCACTGAAATGGTTTTCCCTTTCTTGCTCAACCTATGCAATAGTTCCGCAAGATTGGCAACCCCCCCAAATTAACCTTCTATTATACAAAACTCGGCATATCTGAGAGTGTCTGTGGAAGTATCCAGTTCTGCACAGCCTCCATTGGTAGATGTAGCAAAAGTTCAAAGGTTTTAGCATGCACTAAGATATCATAACAATCAGGCTGAGAGGCACTCCATGCAATATCTGCTCCATAACCTCTCAAACGTGGCCAGCACATTGCACAAGCCATTCCTTCAGATTGTCACAAGCCTTGCCCTACTGTGAAAGCAGTTTTCCCCTGTCTTTTGCCTCTGCTTTCACTTGTCAATACCCACTTTTAATACACAGTATGGAAAACCAGACCGAACCCATTACAGCATCTAGGGTATCATCTATTCATGGTAATAGAATCTGATACTGCTATGTGGACTATAGAAAATTAAATCATTTTAAAGGATTCTTATCTATCTTTTTTTTTTCTTCATCAGAACTATGGGTGAGACCCAAGGTTTTGTAGCCAATTTGTTTACATACCAGAATTTAACTAAACTGCTTCCCTTAATTTTTGCATTATTGCCAATTTCCCTTGTTTTACAAACCAAATTTAACAATTTTTCCAACTGTTCAAGAATGTCATGAACCACATTAGGATTCCCTTTTTCATCATACATATTAGATATAAATCTGTACTCACAAGGCTCCTGGTGGATCCCATTAGTGGCTGCTGCTTTTTCTGTTGGTCTGCTGCAAGGAAAGGTTCAAGGACTGAGACAAATCTTACAGCCCAAGGGTCTTTGGCTTCCTTTCTCTGATCTTGATCTTCAAGTCCCAATCCAAGTGTGTATCTATAAATTAGCTCATCACTGATTTTTGCAGATATGCCAGGAGTACAGGTTCCCTCAGTTCCTCTGCCACTTCAAATGGGGTTTCCTCTTTCCTTCTCCTTCTAGCTCTTAGCTGTGTCCTGGCCATCTCAGATTGATGGCTACCTCTGAACTGCATATCAAGAGCTTGTACCAGATATGGATTGAGTAATCTCTTTTCTAGGGGTAAGTTCTGCAGTGCTGGGCCACTACGTGCCTGGAACCCTGCCTTTTGTCCATCTCCCCAGCATTCATTTAGGCTATGGTGCTGAACTGAGCCAAATAAGCCTCTTTTAGAGAACTTTGCCCCTTCTCAAATAATACAAAAGCCTACTATCTATGAGGGGAATCCAATCTCTTCTGTCTGGGCCTACATGGGTTACAAACAGGTTAGATGTTGTAAATGTCCTGTCTTACACAGGTTTTGTGGCTGGTCTGATTCCCCATCCAGGTAGATGACTTCCACTATGGTCTGTGATTCTTTGAATTCCTGCTCCAGATGATTTTTTAGCTCCTTAAGTTCTTGCTGCAACTGATCTCTGTTAGCAAGTTCCAAGTTGGCCAAAGCTTTCTAGGTCACCATTATTTCCTGGTCCAAGATAGTGAGGTTGCTGGTCATCTCACTGATCCAGTTTTCCAGTCCAAACAGAGAGTTTTGTGGTTGGGCTTCCAAATTTGCCTGGATGCTTTTTGGCTGCTGCCCCAACAATAATTTTATCTTTGACTGCAGGTAATCTCTCAGTCACTTCTGGGAAACCTCCAGATATTTCTTTAATTCCTTTTGTGAAAACTCCAGCTTTTGCTTAATTCTTGTTTTTGGTCTTGTTTTAATTCCATATGGTCACCTTTGATTTCTGTGAGCACCTCTCATTTGTTCCAGTTTACTTCAACTGGAATACCAGCTCACAATTTCCCTTCATAGAGACTTTATCCCACTACTGACACCAGAGTTATCTCTTTAGCTCAAGTAGCTAGCCAATATTTGGGGCCTTGCTGAGTTCTTTCTATTAGGAGGAGAAACTGATTACATGAATCATGTATTTCTTTGGTGCAATCTTGTTTATTTATAAAGAATGCACATAAAGTCCAGTTACTCTGAAAGAAGGGTGATTAGCACACCTATCAGCTTTAACCAGGTCTGCAGTTGATGACAGCCATTAACACCCTCCAGAATAACAGTATTATAGTGATGTGACTGTGACACTATACTTCAGTTAACAATTTAATAACACGTAATCTTAATCCCTGTTTCCAATTACTATATTTGTCTAAAAATGTCTTTTGGATCAAAAATATTTGCTGCTTGGAGTCAGCCTCCAAATTACATTTTTGACACTTAAAAAAACCTTGCTTGTCTCTTTTTAAATTAGGCATATGTAAAAACAAGAAAATCAAACCAACCAACACCTAACCACATCTGTATGTATTGGTTCACAATAAATATTTTCTTATTCTGAAAACGTAATAATAAAGCAGGTTAGAAAAAAATTTAAAGTTAATTTCCCAATTAGGTCACCAGGAGAGTTTTATAATATTTTCTCCTTGAATTGAAAGCACTGATTCAATATTCAGTGGCCTAAACTCTGTGGTGCATCTCCAAATACTGTACAGGAGTTACTGCAGGGTTGAATTTAGCCTCATACATTTTATCAGTTAAGCAGTTGGTTAAGATTTTAATTACTTTTAAGATGGAACAAAGGCTCTCCATTCCCATGATCTTCCTGGTAGCCCTTCTCTGCACCTGTTCCAGGTTGAATTCATAGTCCTACTGAGGTCAGTGGGACTACCCAAAGTGTATTAAGGTAAGAACATGTGAAAGTTTTTTTGCAGAATTCTGGTCTTAGTTAGTGTCTATAATTCTGAACATCATTCTTACCATCATTTTTACTGCAAGGCACTGTAGACTTAATTTTACAAACATTTTTCAAATTTGGTACTCACTAATTCCAGTCTGATCTGGTGCAACAGAACATCTTCTTCAATGTACTCCGTAATTCTGGACTTCGGAATGCATAAATCATAGGGTCAATGATGCCATTGCACAAGATGAGTGTTGCATTCACATGGAAAACGGACATGTAACAAGCACAGTAAGGGTTAAGTGGGCAAAACTTCATGAGGAGGATGTGAAGAAGAAAGGGTCCCCAACAGCAAAGGAAAACACCAAAGAAAATAGTTAATGTAATAGCTCCTTTCAAGTTAACTCTCTGGGGAACTGCACTGGTAGGCAGTGAAGCGATCTTTTTGGCATGAGATCGTGCAAGCAGGAACATGTGGATATAGAGGCATAATATAAAAATTAACATAAAAGGAAACAGAATAGTGAAGGAAATGACTGTAGCTGTTTCATGGGAGAAGATGGTCATAGCAATGCCACTCCCCGCACAGAATGCCCAAATTACTGCCAAAATGATTAAAGCACGATTCAGTGTCATGATGTTATGATACTGTAATGCAAAAAATATAGTTATGTATCGGTCAGCTGCAATGGCTAACAAGCTGAAAACTGACCCCAGCAAAGACAGAACAAATAAAGAATCCATGACATCATCTATCTTGGTCTCAAAGTCTCCACGAGGTGTCAGATGCCCCATTTTGCATAAGATGATCAAGATGTTCTCCAAAGTTTTGTACAGACTGACCAACATATCTGAAACTGATAAACTACAGATAAACAAGTACATGGGCAAGTGGAGATTCTTATTCTTGATCACAGCTATAAGGACAAGTAGGTTCTCCAGTATTCCAGCAATGGCAATTGTGAAAAAGACTTCTTCTGGTACTACAACCTGGGTGCAGTCACTGTTCATGGAGAGATTACTGGTATTTTCAAATGAAGGAACACGTGTCTGCCCTAGGAGTCTCATTATTTGAGAAGCACTATCAGGCCTCATTTCTTCCTCTTGTAGAAAAATGTGTGATTACTCAGGCGTGACTGAGAAACCGACCTGTCTTTCGGATAATCTTTTCTGTGGTGAAGCCTTTCTGGTTCTATCTTTAGCAATTGTAAGACTTAAGCGAGTTGTATTCAGCCACCTATGATAAAATGTAGAGAAAAGTAAGTGACAGGAAAATTAATACATCTGTGTGTCAAAATTAGATATTTTGAAGTTCAACCTATGAATTTACTGTGATGGAATGAACATTTTTCATCAGTAAATTGGTTTGGACAAAGTAAAAGTTGTCCTGAGCCTCAGCCCAAACCTCAAAGGAAAATGAAATGTTAATTCCTTTTTAGGCTGACTAAAGACAAGAATATTTCCCTTCTTATTTGGCCTCCTACATTTGCTGAAATCGATCCCAGACTCCCTGAATGTCTGGCAATGTTTACTTGCCTAGCTGCTTACTTTGAATAATTTTGGCACTTCTCACAAGATTGACATTATAAGAAACAAACCAGATAAATGCCAACTGAAGCTGATGTGTAGGACAACAGCATATTTACCTTCACACTTGTTTTGAGGTGATGCGTGGGGAGGCATGTGGGGTCACATGCCCCTCACCCCCCAGATTTGCTGCCTGGCTTGTATTTAGCATGCTCACACAGATTGAGCATGCTCAGTAACACTGCTGAAGCCAGCTGCTCTCACTCTGCCCCACCACTGTCAGCAGGCATGGATCATCTCTGCTTTTTCATATATATAACATATGAAAACTTGTAAATATTTTTCATTGGCACATTAGAGCTTATTTAACTGGTGGAGCTGTCTGAGGCCACTTTTCAAGTAAATTGAAATGTTCTTCTGATTTGGCAAACATAACAGTAATTTAGGATCAGATCCAAAGGAAATTCTTGAACAAATTCAGCCCAAATACTGAAAGCTTTGCTTCAGTGTACTTGATGTTCTTTTTTCATTATGACCTCGATCCAATCCCATTAAAGTCAACAGGAATCTTTCCATTGACTTTAAGGGGAATTGGATCATGCTCTGTATGCTTGTAACTATTCATTAAGATGTAAATTGGTGGATTATTTTGTCCTTGGGACAATAGGACGTACATCTTTCTGTCATTATTATGCCCCCAATTGCAGAATACATTTACTGTTGCTATTCAGAATATCCACTTTCTGTTCATAATTAAAACCAGCAGAAGAAAGATATTTAAGCTATATAAATCAGGGATCACACCTCTTCACATGCCTGACCAACATAGCTATACCAACAGAAGTCTGTAGTGTAGACATAGCCTTAGTTTTAAAGGGGCACACATAAAAGCCTAATTTATGCTATGCTCTTCCTCCCACTGCAAACCTCCTGTTATTGACAACAGATGTCAGGAATAAGTGCAGCTGAATTTGTGCTTGATATGGTTTATCCACAATATAGACAACTGTGTTCAGTCCCATTTCAGTAGCCAATGGCTTTGACCACAGTTCATCACCATTCAATCACTGAGTTCTCTGCTGCTGAGATTGTTAGCAAAGTTGTAAGTTGTGGTCATGGCTTTTGATAGCCATCAGGAACTGGACTAACACCTGCAACTCACTTCACTTAGGTTTAAAAGAAAACGTTCAGGAGAATGCCTGTGTTTATCTGAAAAGCTCTGATATGAGTAAATGAGTTACATTATATAGCACAAGTGCACTGCATCCAACTGAAAATTCTCTATTATAAATAATGCATGGGACTTCAGGAGGGAATTAATACTGAAAATGGGAGACTCAGCTTTGTCTGTAAATTTACAGGGATTTTTCCAGAGACAAGGCAGGTTATGTAATATCTTTTATTGGACCAAACTTCTGTTGGTGAGAAAGACGAGCTTTCCAACTCTCTGAGCTACTGCCACAGGGAAGCTTTAGGATTTATAAAGCTAGCCGTCAATTTCAGAACAATATTATTTTAATATTTGATTCACTTAATAAAAACAGATACAACTATAGTTCAATGGGATTCAGAAAAAGCACCTCCCACAGGGAAAAATGCATTTATTAAATCAAAGTTCTTTCATATATGGTTTCATTACAAGATATTTTTGTTCCCACACTCAGCAGATATCACTGAGCTTATTTCCCCTGACCTTCTAGTAAGTAAGGCATCATATTCACACAGATCAATGGCATATTAAAAAGTAGTGGATGCTGTTAAACCCTGGTCTGGAAGAATAAATTGTGTATATTTAGTGGCTAGTAGCAGCTATTAATTTTAATAGAATTGGAGGGTTCCTTATAATAGTCAACAAAACAGGGCTGTACAGGTGTTGCTTCACTGGAAATATGTTGAACTGAATGTCTACAAGGTTAATTTGGGGAATGGGAAAAATGCAAAATAAAAAACCTGAATTTCATATTTCTCCTTCTGAATACTTTTTTTTCCCAATTTTTTTCTTCATTAAAAATAATTGTAACCCAAACAATGACATGTGCTAGGGATATGCCACACTTACTGAACCTTAAATGATATCTGCTCAAACTGGTATGGGAACAGGTCTGTCTGCCATTGTCCTGAAGTTTTCTGTTGTTACTTAGAGGTTGTGGAGAAAAAAGCCCCGTGTAAAGCCAGGTTCTCAAACTTTTCCTAGGGTGGACCGCATCTTAATGGAGCTAGTGTCTGATGGACCAACCTCTCCCCACTAGTGAGCATCCCATGGACCACTATTACTACTTGCAATCACATAACTTTCTGATGTCAGTACAGTAATTGGTATCAGAAGGGCTTATGGTCTAAATAAACAAGACAGGCCATGGGAAGGGCTATAACACGCAAGCAGAGCAAAGAATGTGATGGCAGCAAACCTCATCTTTGTGTTGCAATTTTTTTGGGGGGGTGAGTTTACTGAGGAGTGGATCAGGTAACTGGAATGAAAAGGGGAGGGGAGGAAGTTGAAGGGTACATGGCAAGGGAGAACAAGGCAAGAGGAGCAAGCTGAGGTGAAGAGACTGTGAGGGAGTGGGAGGGTTGTGGCAACAGGACAGAGAAATTCCAGCCAAAACTGTAGAAAGTTCTATAAATGTCCCAGCATCTCTGCTTTGGCTGCTTCTGTCTACAGGCTGGAGGGTCTGGTTGGCGCCTCTTTGCAGTTTTTCCCCACAGCCACATGGCGGGGTTGGGGAAGGGAGGCACCACCTTGGTCCTAGTGCCCCCAAAGTATGTGTGTGGGATCTCTCCTGCATAGTCCTGGGTCCAGGAGTGGTCCAGACTGGGCCCTATTTTACTTCTTGCCCCTCAGCCCCTGATTTGGATAGTTCTACCCCTCATGGCTAGAGTAGCTCCTCTCTGCAGTTTCCTCCCAAGCTGATATGAGGACAGGATGGTGAGGCACCACTGGGTCCTAGTGCTCCTCTTTTTCAAACCACTTTGGTAGCTTAAGGCACATTTACACTGTCAAAGGGGCATAAAGGAGCCTTTGCATAACTGAGAATCATGACCCAGGACTTGATCCATTGAAGTGCTGATCACTCTTACTGGCCTCAGTAGGAATTGAAGGCTCTCAGCACTACACAGGATTGAGCCCTTAAACATAATGCAGGGCTCCCTTTGTGTAAATCCCTGTAGATCTGGCCAGAAAATATCCTTTTCTGTGCACTACAATTGCACTGAAGAGACTGTAGCACTTGGACATTCCAGGAACTCATCAGTTCTGTCCTTGAGTTTTTATTGAATAGAGCTTTAGTTCATTAGACTAAAAAAAGAAAAATTTTAAATTCGCTCATTTTCCTTGACTTCTACTTCCAGGTAAGATGTAGTTTCAGCTCAGATCTATACTGCATATAATGATAAACGCTTGAGACGCATCGAATAAACTGTATTCCTTAAACTGTGATCACTTCTTAGATTTCTTTGCCATATTTGAATCATTGATATAAAACCTTTGCACTCCAGGCTAGAGAGAGGGCAACTATAATTACTCTCTAAACCCTTGGCTGTACATGATACACCGAAAACTGAATGGGTATTGATTTTTCTTGGGTTCTCTTGGACTGCACAAAATGACTATGATAAACTCACCAATAAGGCAGAAATGATGGATTTACATCAGGCTTGCAGATTTTCTTTATTTTAGAAAAAAATGCCACCTATTAGGATAGAAAGGTGATAAGTTGCATTTTTAGAGATACTCTGGTGTTAGCTTTGGTGGCATTCTAAATGATTAAGTCTATCTCCTTGATCCAGAAACCACTGCCCCTGTAAAAGCTTTTGTCACTAGAGCAGGTTACGCATCTCCAGCATTTCAGTCCTGAAACTACTCCATTTAATTCAGTGGCAAAACTCCCGTTGACTTTGATGGGAGCAGAATGAGGAGCTTCATCATCAAGTCTCATTGGAAGTCTGTTCACTTTATTTTCTACCTCTAAAAATAGACAGTAGAGAAATAATGACTCCATTCAGAGATGGTTTTGCAAGCTGAGTTTGATTGGTTCCATGTAGTGCTGCTTAAAGCACACTTCAGACTATTTGCAGATGACAGTGCAACTCCTAAGTCTGAGATACTGTACTGCGGCTAGGAGAAATACAAATATTCACTGTTCCCTTTTGTAATAAAAATATATTTTACAAAAATTATGGCAAATTACCTTTTCCCTTGTTTCCAGTTTTCCAATGGCATTTGATTATGTGCCATGCCAGTTAAAAGCACTGTTAAAGAGTTTTTTAAAGATATCAAGCAAGTGAGCAGAGGATTATCTAATGTATTTTCATCAGCATATAACTAATTGCATTCTTGAAAGTGTAGGGAAAGGGCACTGTAATATTCAGGCAAGTAGAAAGGATGTGAAATTAGTAAAGCCTTGTCTTCTGTGTGGGTCAGGACTATGATAGCCCTGGGTGAACGTGCAACTGGGTGAGGAAGAGAGCAAGGCATTTCTCCACTGCCTTGCAGCTTCTATAGTCACTCACCCCTGTACAAAGTGAGTACATACAGTGAAATTCATTGCTGTGCTTGTGCATGGAAAAAAGTGGGGCAGCCTTGCACCTCCTTTATTCAGTGGTACTGGGGTCTTTAGCAGCTTTGCCTAGCCCCAGCACCAGCAGGCTAGGCAAAGCTGCCCCAATTTACTTTTTTGCGGCAGTGACCCTT